TCATGGCCTTTTCCAGCATAAAACAATGTTGAAATTCCAGTGAAAGGCCAAGTATAAAGACCTAACCCTAATCACTGCTCACCTACCACAACACACCACATTTTTCAGAGCAAAAACTTGTAAACAAGAGCCCTTGAGAAACAATGTGACAATATCATGAGGCGTGGTGGGCGTGGTGGGTGTGTCTGGATTACCTGCAGGAATTTGTCGAACAAAAGGCCACTAATAGCCCTCAGATTGCTAAGAAGAAGGAGGGGGTTTGTCCTCAGGATCTTGAAATTTCAGTCAAGCTAGTGTAGGTTTATGACATCATCTTGAGCCATTCACAAAGCATTTGATCAGAGCTACACTGCTGCAGGCAGACAGGTTCCTGCTGGACCACAGCCAGTTCTCTGAAGCAGCACTGAAGACCATGAAGGCTCACCAATGCTGAACAGGACCAAGAAGTCTCATCTAATTCAGGAGCTGCAGTGGTGCAGTGGCTCTTCATGGAGAATAATCTGCAGGACACCTTCAGAGACTGTGACTCTGCTGAAGATTCTCATCACATCTCCTCTGACCACAGCTGAATCGGAGGAGCTTCTCAACACTGAAGAGAATCCAGACTTTCCTCAGGTACACAACATCACATCTCACTGCACTGACCATGCTCAATAGAGAAGAATCTGGTTAAACCATCCCTGACTTTAACCAGAGTCATGAAGAAATTTGCTTCTCAGTTAGAGAAGAGCAAAATTTATGTACTAAAAATAAAAACTACATGACTGTTTTATTATTTGGATTTGTTTAATAAATACACTGGCGTGAAACAACTTAGTACATGTTTGATTGCTTTTTGAGATACGTCTATTTTGGAGATGTGGCACCCACTGGAGAAAAATCCATCAGCCACCACTGCTGTTGACACAGCAGCCTCAAGGCTGCAACGTGCACTGGCCTCCCCAGCACCAAGTTGCCTCACTTCAGTCAGATGATCCATTCTTTCCCTACCAAACCCTGGGAGTGGCCACACTCAGACAATGAAGCATGCCGTGCTGTGCGGCCACCTCAGGGGAGAGCGACAGACTGGTGCCCAGAGAGAAAAACGTGCTTCCCCAGTCTGGAGTGGTGGGAGTGGGAAGGCGGTGCATGCTCCACAGCACAGACCGTCATTGCTGCTTCCCCAGGTGAAGAATGAAAGGCGAAGTGGCTCGCCTCCTCGGTAGTCAATCCTGGCAGCACTGTCAACATTAGTTTGTGCTAAATGACAAATCATGTTTATACCGAAGTAACAGCAACAACAAACTCACGAAACATCACTTACCGGCATCATCTGCAGATTAGTGAGGAACGATCGTGACAGAAGTTTCCTTTCAGTAGAAAGTCCTTGGGTAAATCCTAATGGTAGTAGTTCCTAAAGTACACTCACCAGGCACATTATTTGGTACCAGTTAGCCATTTTTCCATTACAAGATGTGGCACCGCTCGGTTCTACTCTACTCAGGTGTAGATCATTTTCCACTAACACGGAGGTGTTTTCATACATGCAAATGGCAGTTATGTCTGTCGAATGTGCTAGTCAACCTTACGTGCCATACTTTGCAATGTTAGGGTGATGTAATTCATTTCTGCAACAGCTTACAAGCCAACATGGAGACTTTAAAGTTATTGCCGTTTTTGTTGTACTTTATGTACAGACAAAAAATGAGAATGTTTGGCATGTACAAACTGGCACTGTACAACCACTATCGGAAGCGGCTTCTTCGGCAGCTTGAATGACTGCTGGCTGCAAGGAAGCAATCCAAGTCGCAGAAGGCTGCTTTGAGGGGAATGTCCAAGGCTCTGACTGCGACCATGACTGAAGCCGTACGGGCATCCCTTCTTCTGCATTCTGAGCTTGACGACCATGAGGATGCAAGGAGACGGCGCAGAAGGCTAGGCTGATCTTAGCTTGATAGCTTCTAAAATAGATACAGTGTTCTGATAAACAAATGTGGTTACTTTTAAGTTTTTCATTAAAAAACATTTTTATTGTCACAGATCATGCTTTATTTTTGTTTAACAGCTCAGTTTTATCACCATTAAGTATAGATTTAAATGTACATTTGCTAAAAATAAGTGGTTCTGGTTTCACCTAATTTCCCTCTAGACACTGATTATTTCCACATCAAAAAGCAGAGTACTCTTTTCTATCCATTTTTCTGTGTCTCTGCTGCCAAACCAACATGCATATAATGGTTCACACACCACCAGACTCAGCTGCATTGGAAAAAAAATATTGCAGCTTTGATGAGCTTTACGGCACCGATTGCACTGAAACTGAGAGACGTACGGGTCAGAGAGGAATAATTTATCACTTGCTGCTCCAGTCAGACATCCAAAGCCCACAAGTGCATCTCTGTGCCTCACGGCAAACAGAAGCAACACAATTGGCAGGGAAGCATGCAGAATACATCTCAACAGCCATTCATCTATTCAAACATGATTGGATCTCATGTAACCTCTAAAAATGGGCAATTTATTTTTTATTAAAAGGTCAGACAGAACAACCAGTACCAAACAAATGAAGAAAAGAATGTTCTCATGTCACAGTATTGTGTATAGTACTGACATTCTGTATATTCAATACTCTTTATTGTCTTTCTGTTATCGACTAAGTAATTAGATTATTTTTGTGCGTTTTTCATCGTACCCATATACCATCTATTATTTTGTTCAAAACAAGTTTTCTTTGGAATTGTGCATTTTTCCTTGCAGAGAAATAAAAAAAAAACTTAAGGTTGGAGATGCAGAGTTGTTAAGACATTGTTCTACAAACAATGTGGGAGAACAACTCAGTATAATCTGTTGTAGTCCAAATTTTAAAAGAACATTATACAATGATGACTTTTTTCTTACTTACTGTATTAACTTTTCTAAATATACACAGTTTGTATTTCACTTCATGCTAAGTGAGTGAGACTAAATGAGTTGAGTTTGGCCCTAAGAGTATATTTACAGTAATAGAGCTAAAATGAGTCCTGCTTATTAGCATCCGCAACATGGCGGAGGAGCAAAAATGGCACCAGGGCAGCAGTTCACAGCCCACAAAACAACTAACCGATTAACAACAAGCCCAACTCTGTGTCACAAATTATTATTAATTTTTACAATAAATTAATATTTTATTAAATATGTCTATTTCATTTGACAATCATGTAAAACAGCTAGATGATATGGAAAATATATAATTTATAAATAACAATGATCTAAACCAGACTTGAAGTCAATCAATAATTTAGACATTTTAGCTATTTGAAAACTAGACTTCAAATAATAATAAAGTATATTTATTATTTTTTACCTGTCATGATTGTAGGAGAAACACTTATCAATGTGTAAGGTTTCTTACACCTCTCATAACGAAAGTTATGAGGAACTTATTTATCACGGGTTCTTCTTATTTTTCATCAATATCTCGGCTGTGCAAAGTGAGTCACACACAATAAGTGAGCCAACTCAGTTCAGTTTGATCCATAAACAAAATGTGATCGTTTATTTACATAAATCAAACAAATCATGAGTTAACAACTTAATTGTGAGCAATTAATCTTCCTGTAACAAGTTTAGAATCAATAACGATATGCGTAGGCACAGTTAGCACCACTTTCCCTGAAACATAGTTCCCATGTGACGTTTCATTTGTGGACGGGACTTACTTGTTGCCATCTTGCAAGGCAGGCAGTAGTCACGGCCTTGTAATTGTTGAGATCCCCGATGTTTTTTCGTCATGTTTTTTTTTAAGATTTTACTGCTTTTCTTGTTTTTCGCTCAAAATAGTTGTTTCATGTTGGTTGAACGGCTGTTCCAACCATGCAGACGGTTTGACTAAGCACAGTTTCCACAGTATACCCAAAATCTAAAAGCATGAAGGACCACAAACAAAGGAGCTGAGCGCTGAATGTCGGCTAGTCTGGCTTGGCAACATCCAATGCAAGGATCTGCCATCGAATCCATCAGGAATCTTTTCGGACCACTTTTATTCCAGTAAAGAAAGACATATACTGTATAACAGTCATTTTGTCGATTTGCGTCTTCATTAAACTGATGAGTGTTGACTGCTCTGTTTATGATAAGTCTCTGCTGTGGTTAGCTTAGCGACACTATGCTAAACCTGTAAGCACTCGCTCTGCCTACATCTGTATGCTACAGACAGTATATTTTAATTGTTAACATCAGTTGCATTGACAAGCTTCATAATCAAATAAATGTCCTAGTCTTTAATGTTGGTGATGCATTTTTTGAGTCATGATGGCTTAATCATAGCCACAAGTTGCAGCTAGGCTCTTTTGTTATGAGGTCTAGCTGTGAGGCCCAAAATGCCAGCAGACAAACATTACCAGTGATAGAACCACAGAGTTACCAAAGCACACATAAAATTCATTATGGTAAATACACAAAATAACAAGAGGAACAGAAAAATAACACCCATAAAAACACAGAACTCCATATTGGTTACAATATGTACAAAGTAATATTCAGTAATAAAATAAACAAAATACATACATAATCAGCAAGTGTACTAAGTGTAATACTTACATAATTTAAACAACATGATTGCTAGGTGCAAGTTCTATTAATTTGTTTTGTTTGTGGTGTTTCCCCAAACTTTTTTCTTCGATTCTTGTATGAAAATGATAATGGTTTACTATTAATAGTGTATTTTATTTGGAAGCACTTTTCTTACGCTCAAAGACAGCATTATAAAATCTGAATGCTAAGTTTGTACTCTAAAGTTTTTCCAACATGACTGAATAGTACTGTTAGCTTTCTACCTTTGTCTTTGTTGTACTGATTTTTTTATGTCTTCAGGGAGGGCTGACTTGTACGACACGTCAAATCCGGATTGGGCTCCTACATTAAAGTAAACAGAGACGCTTATAAGGGTGACTCAGCAAAGGAACTTCAACTATCGGAGTCAAAACCGAACAGTAAGTTTAAAAAAACTAGCAAGCAATGTAATAATTCCAAATTATTATAATAAATCATAATTACTGCAGTCATTTAGCAAGATTTGATATTGAACAAATGTTTATTTGGATGCACAAAAATGTTAATAATGTTAATAATGACTCCTGCAGGCTCTCGGCAATAACAAAGCAAAGTGAAAGTAAAACTTAACTGTCTGCTGCTCTTAACACTACTGCTCACTCAGTGAAGCTCTTTTCAGATTCAAAATACCTTTGAGGAAATGTATTTTCAGATGCCAAGTAAACTGCATCATAGTGCATTTAAGACCAACTTCACAATAAACACTAATGAGGAAAAACAAGAACAATTACCTCTTAATTTATTCACGATATATTTTGTTGACTTTTTTAAAGCTGACTGACTTCAGGTGGCAGTAAAACAAACCCAATATTTAATCCATCTCCATGATAGGAGCTGACAGTCAGAGCTTGTTATTAATATCAACCCATTCATTGTGTTGTTAATATTTTAACATGCAGATGCTTGGAACAATGACATGTTACAAATAAACTAAATCAAAAACAAACAATATAAGAGTAAAATTCACCTCTAAAGTCATTGTTTGGGATAAATTGTCACGTTAATTTCATTATCATAGCTTATAGCAGTGAGTTTAAAAACAGCATGATTCAACTAGAATCTGTCTCTATTTTGTTATTTAATCAAGTTTTTTTATGTAAACGTATAGGAGCCTGGTAAAATACACCAGAATGCAGCAAACTGCATCTACTAATTTCAAAATTTTCTGGGGGAGGACCCCCAGACCCACCCCGCTCCACTAATGGCCCCCTCACACACATTACAATGCTTCTGATGCTCTTGCTTTAATGTTTATGTTAAATTATTGCACCACAGCAGAAAAAATTACTTTGTTGTTGTTTGAAGTGTGAATAGGCAGGTTTTGGTCCGTGACTGGTATTTTTAAACAAATAACAGTTTCAATTATATACATTGTTAGTGTTGATTGGCAAGATGTTTGTTTAATAACTTACTTGGAGGGAAATCATTTGCTGAATGTTTTGTCTCCCCGAGTTCAAAAATCCTGTCTGCGTCTGCACCCCTGACGATATGAGCCCACGTCTGAACTTAATCAATATCAACTCAACACTCAGAATTGAAACAGTAAACATCGGTTCAGATGTTGAATAAACCAAAAGGTTTACTGGCACATTAAACATAGATTCTGGAAAGGCAAGTAGTTTTAAGGAAAGGAGGAAAATAAGATTAGTATTTTTACTTAAATTTTTATCAAGTGTGAGTCAACCGGATATGGCACAACGTCTCCGCACTCGGTTTGCGCCGGACTCAGGTACACCAAATAACACTTCAGCCTTTACCTTTGGTGACTTCTCAGGTCACTTCAGTTATCAGGAAAGGTTCACCTTTGGTCGGTAAGTAGACTTCGTGGGGTCAGCGTTGTCACCGGCCTGCCTCCCTCCCAAGGTAACAGTCATTTTAACCATTATCGACCGTTTTTCCAAAGCTGCCCACTTTGTGCCCCTATCCAAGCTGCCTACAGCTTTTGAAACCGCTCAACTCCTGGTACAATGTTTTCCGGATCCATGGGATCCCCATGGACATAGTATCTGATTGAGGACCTCAGTTCATTTCATGTGCTTGGAAGGATTTTTGCAATGCCTTGGAAGCCACAGTCAGTCTCTCCTCGGGGTACCACCCTCAGTCTAATGGCCAGACCATGTGCTGCAATCAGGAGCTGGAAGCAGCCCTACAATGTATGGTCAGTAGCAATACTTCCACCTGGTTAAAGCATCTCTCGGGTAGAGTACGCACACAACACTGACTTCTATTGCTACTGGTGTGTCACCGTTTGAAGCATCTCTGGGTTACAACCCCCCACTGTTTCCTAGTGTCGAGACTGAACTGTCTGTCCCTTCAGTGCAACATCACCTCCGCAGATGCAGGAGAGTTTGGCTACTACCCAAGGAGGTGCTGATGAGGACAGCCAAGCAAAACAAGAGGATCGCTGACAAACACTATTCAGCTGCACTAGTCTACCAGGTTGGACAGAGGGTTTGGCTTTCTACCAGGGATATCCAACTTAAGGACAAGCCCAAGAACCTCACGTCTCGCTTCATCAGACCTTTCCCAGTGGAATGCATTATCAACCCCACAGCGATATGTCCAAATTTTCCTGCCTCCATGCACATTAACACCATGTTCCATGTCACAGATTAAACCTGTCAAGGAAAGTTCACTGTTGGTGATCCATCTGATGAGCTCCTGCCCTACTTAAGGCTCACTCGGGGTCTGGATCTTCGCTGAAGCATCACACTGCAATGGTAGTAGCTAACAGCCGCTCTATTAAAAGTTCTAATCAAAAGTAATAATCTTGTTCCCGCCTGTGTTTTTCTCAAAGGAGGCCACACCACAAAGAGACCAGTCTGGAAATAACTAGGAGCTCATCTGAATCAACTGCCTGCCACCAAGCCTTCCTTAAAGCCACCAGGACCCAAACACCCAGCCTCGTCTGTAAATACCTGATCACTTACCTGCCTTCCTGGAACCGGGTCACTCTGCCTGAAGATCACGATCTCCTTCAAGGGATGTCTCCTTACACGCACTGTCGTTCCTGGATTTCTATAAGAAAAATTTATTTATTGTTACGATTGACAGCTCAATCTTAAGAGACATTCTCTGGACCACTACTCATTATCTGCTTCCTACCTTTTCAGGCCTGGTTCCCCAGAGACGTCACTGTAAATAAACTCACTTACCTTTGTATTCAGTGTCTGAGTCTGGTTACTTGGTGCTGCTCATTTGTCATTAACCTCAGCTCATGTCAATAACAGTCGGGTCTATGGACTTGTTAAACAAAATATGTGACTGGGAGGTATTGCCAGAGAAAACTATCTCAGACCATCAAAAGTTCTGTTTAAACTGAAGATGGGGAAACCACACCCAATTTTATTTCTAAAAGTAGGATTTATTTTATTATCACTTAAACAACTTGTACACAGTCAGTTCTGCACAAATACATACAGTCAAAAAGTTGGCTACACATCACAGAAGTAGTTGCTTATTTTTGAAAGTAAGTACATTGGGCCTCATGCAAGAACATGTTCGTATTCTTATCCTAAATTTCTCTTACTTTTGTTCGTACAAAGGGTTCGTACCAACATGTCACATCAGATTCAACAAACTCTTCTATCTTCAGGAAAAGTGCGTAAATGAGCTGCGTAAATTCCACC